GCCATTCTCCTGCCTCAGCCTCCTGAGTAGCTGGGACTACAGGTGCCCACCACCACACCCGGCTAATTTTTTGTATTTTTAGTAGAGACAGGGTTTCATCGTGTTAGCCAGGATGGTCTCCATCTCCTGACCTTGTGATCCGCCCGCCTTGGCCTCCCAAAGTGCCAGAATTACATACGTGAGCCACTATGCCTGGCCAAGTCTTTACTTAAAAGTTACTTTCAACCGGGTGCGGTGGCTCACGCCTGTAATCCCAACACTTTGGGAGGCCAAGACGGGCAGATCACTAGGTCAGGAGATTGAGACCATCCTGGCCAACATGGTGAAACCCTGTCTCTACTAAAAATACAAAAATTAGCTGGATGTGGTGGTGTGTGCCTGTAGTCCCAGCTTCTCGGGAGGCTGAGGCAGGAGAATCGCTTGAACCTGGGAGGCAGAGATTGCAATGAGCCAAGATCATACCACTGCACTCCAGCCTGGGCGACAGAGCGAGACTCCGTCTCAAAAAAAAAAAAAAAAAAGAAGTCACTTTCTCAGGGAGGCTTCCCAGATCTCACAATTTAAATAATTTAGCCCCTCCCTCAAATTCCACATCCTCCTTCTCTGCTTTATTTTCTCTTTGGTGCTTATTGTTGTTATGTACCATACCATAAATTTTACTTATCTTGTTGATTGCCCACTCCTCATGCCATATACACACACGACAATAGGAGCTCCCAAATTTTTGTCTTTTCGTTTGCTGCTGTTATCCCAGCCCCTAGAACAACGCCTGGTGCAGTGAGCTGTTCTAAGTGCTGGAGACGCAGCTGTGAACGAAACACAAAATTCCCTGACTCCCGGGAATTCACAATCTAGTGGGGGCTAGAACATGGATCCAAGTGCTGGGTGACGCTTTCAGGAGGTGGGCGTCAGCGGCCATCTCTGCCCCTCTGGGTAACAGATGATACAGACCAGCAGTCTCCCGCTATTAGCCTGTGAGGGGCAGAGGGGAACCCCCACTTGCAGGGCAGGTGTGGGGCCCTGAATGTGAGATCCAGAAGCCTTGGGGGGAAGCTCCTGCCAGTCCACCAGGGGCAGCGGGGAGGTGTCACCTTGGGCTGCCAGGGCCCTGTGGACTTGGCTTAGGAGCTGGGTTGCATGGGCGCTGGGCCAAGACCCAGGCTCTGCGCCCCTTCGGGACAGGCCAGCCCTCGCCGCACCCTGGAGCAGTATTTCCACGCCGTGGTGGCCGCCGTGGAGCAGATGGCCAGTGAGGCCAGCCCGAGCCGGGAGGGACACGTGGAGAGGCTGGAGGAGATTTACTGCTCGCTGCTGGGGCCCGCGGCGGGGCGCAGAGGTGGTAAGCGATGGGCGACTGGGGGACCCTGCCAAGGGCCCCGCGGGGGCAGCTCACTGCACCGCAGGGGGCGCCAGAGAGCAGTGCTGGACCTGCCTCTGTCTGGGAGGCAGGAGCCTGGGGAGTGGGGGCAGCCTGCGGATTTGCTAAGACCGGGACTAAGAAGGCCGGTAATTAGGCCGGGAGCGGTGGCTCAGGCCTGTTATCCCCGCATTTTGGGAAGCCGAGGCAGGCGGATCACCTGAGGTCGGGAGTTCGAGACCAGCCTGGCCAACATGGTGAAACCCTTTACTAACGTAGTAGAGGGTTTAGTCAGCCAGGCGTGGTGGCGGGCACCTGCAGTCCCAGCTACTGGGGATGCTGAGTTAGGAGAATCACTTGAACCCAGGAGGCAGAGGTTGCAGTGAGCCGTGATCGCACCACTGTACTCCAGCCTGGGTGACAGAGCGAAACTCCATCTCAAAAAAAAAAAAAGGCGGCGGGAAATTTGGTCCTGATAACAGCTGTTGCCCACAGAGCCCCTACTATACTCCAGTTGCTGTTCTAATCACCTTACATATATTTAAATATATTGCCTATACTGTATTAAATCAATGAAACCTCACAGTCAACTTATAAGCTGGAAACTATTATTATCCCCATTTTACAGAGGATGAAACTGAGTTAGAAAGAGGTTAAATATCTTGCCCAAGATCACCCAAGGCAGTAAGTGGCAAAGGCAAGATACAAATCCAGGCTGTCTAGTTCACCACTCAGCTGTAGTAATCAAAGGATTTGATCGTCCAAGGACCAGAGTATCTAAAAGAGCAGATGAGTCAACATCGTCTATATCTGGTATCATAGAGTTTTACTCCTCACCCTTCCCTATTTGCATATTTATAAGATAACGCCTTATCTTATGCAAGGCATAATGTAGGTAAGATAATGCCTACCCTGACACAAGCCCCATGTGGATGGGGGCATCTGAAATAGCCCAGAGAAACATCCCGAATATGTGTTTCCTGGCTGTTGTAGGATGGTTCTGATTTGGGTCCCATTTCATGGTCGCCCAAAGTATCATGGAATGTGTCAGCCTGCATGTCCCAGATACGCATGGTCTCTGATCGTGCACCTGTAGTTATAAGGCATGGGGGTAAGGACTGGAATCCACTGGAAGAGGTTAGTGTGCCAGGCCCTGGGTTTGAACTTGGCAGCCCAGGTTGGGTGGAGGCCCCAGCAGTTGGGTGAGGTGGGCAGGATAGTCCCTGCCTCAAGACTCCATCTTCGAAGTTTTCCACTCTTTTGCTTTAATATTCTACGCTGCCTCTGATCCCACATAGAAAAAGCTGCTCCGGCACCCCAAGCTGGAACAAACCCTGGGGCCAATCTGGCTTTGCTCCCCTTGTGGTCCCTTGCTAACACTCACCAGTGACTCTGCGTGGATCAGGCAAGATCATCTGGGCTGCCCCCAAGCCACATCCAAGGGCACCTGTCTCCTGCCCAGACTTGCCCTGTGCATTTATTTTATTTATTTATTTATTTATTTTTTGAGATGGGGTCTCACTGTGTCACCCAGGCTGGAGTGCAGTGGCGTGATCATGGTTCACTGCAGCCTTGACCTCCTGGGCTCAAGTGATCCTCCCACCTCAGCCTCCCAAATAGCTGGGACCACAGGCACGCGCCACCACACCTGGCTTAGCCCTGTGCATATGAATGACCAGGCAGCAGCCCCGTCAAGTCCCTGTGGCCCTAGGGGGCAGTATGGAGCAGTGGTTATAAGCACTGTGTTGTGGGTAAGAGCAGGGACTCTGGAGCTGAGCTGCCTGGGTTCAAGTCTTCACTGTGCTATTTACTATGTGACCTTGGGCCAGTCATTCAACCTCTCCGTGTCCTGTCTCCTCCCCTGTAAATTGAGGATAATAATGTCACCCATTGCCCACGGCTATTGGCAGGATCCAGAGAAATGATTACACTGTGTGCCAGGTGAGTAGAATAAGGCCTGGTAGGCAGTAGGTGCTCAGTGAACACTAGCTGCTCTCCCCTAAGAGGCTTGCAGCCTCAGGAGGGGGAAGCCACAGCAATATGGAAATGAAACAAGAATACAGAGCCAAATCCTAAGGCCACATGTGAGGTGTGCCCAGTGTGCAGACAAAGTCTGCTGGAGGGAATGACCACTGTGGGCTGCTGGCGTGGTCAGAAAATATTCTAGAAAGAGGAGCAGGAAGAAGCGCTGGTCTTGGTCTCTCCCCTGGACTGCCCGGGGTTCCTACTGCCCCCAAACTTTGCTGATGAGTTCTTGTCAGCATCACTGACAGCAGCGAATGTTAATTGAGTGTCTGCTGCATGCAAGATATTGGAAGCAGCCCTGAGAAGGGAAGGGGTCTCTCCTGCCTCGTCTGGATGCAGGCAGGGCATTTTAAGAACAGCGGGGAAGCCAGTCTGGTGGCTGCACAGGGCTGAAGGTGTGGCCAGCATAGGAGAATAGGTTGGAAAAGGCCTTGTGAGCTGGTTTGTGAAGACCCCCTAAAGGCTGAGCTAGGTTTAAGGAAACATAGCTACTAAGCATTGTTGGACAGGGAGGGGACAGCTGCACTGTTGGGCCCTGGATGGGCTGGTGGTGGCAGAGATGGAAAGGCAGACCAGATGTGGAGAGAGTCCCTGCCACCCCTCTAAGACCCCGCACAGGAGCTGAGCAGGATGGGGATGGCAGATGGGGAGGGTCCCATGGACTCCTCCATGGCCTCCATAGCCTGTTCCTTTCTGCAGGTGACCCTATCCAAGAGCGGCCACCAAGCATTCCCCTGCCCAGCCCCTACATCACCTTCCACCTGTGGACCGGCGAGGAGCAGCTCTGTACGTGCCCCTGCAGCTGTCTGGAAACAGTGGTATATGTCTGTGTCTGTGTGTGTGCATATGCGTGCATGTGTGTGTTTGTCAATGTGTTTGTGTGTGTCTGTGTGTGCATGTGTGTGTGTCTGTATGTCTGTGTCTGTACATGTGTGTGTGTGCATCTGTGTGTCTCTGTGTCTGTGTGTGTCTCTGTGCATGTTCATATGTGTGTCCTTATGTGTCTGTGTGTCTGTCTGTGTTTCTGTGTGTGTGTGTATCCTCTGAGGAGGACTGGTTGGAATCAGGAACATAGCCCTGCCAGCCTTACGCGTCCTCACTGCCCTCGTTCCCCCATCCCAGGGAAGGAACTGGTGCTCTTCCTCCGCCCAAGATCCCAGCTGTGCCTCAGTGCTGACTTGGAGGTCTTGGATCTGCAGGGCCTCCGGCCAGACCGGGAGTTGGCCCGGGTTTCCGTGCTGTCCACGGACAGCGGCATCGAGCGGGACCTTCCCCCGGGGGCTGATGAGCTGCCTGCACCCAGCAGCCCTGAGATGGAGCGAGCTGGGCTGCAGCGCAAAGGCGGCATCAAGAAGCGTGCGTGGCCTCTGGACTTCTTGATGCCTGGCGGCTGGGACGGGCCCCCAGGGCTGCACCGGAGGACAGGCAGGCCCAGTGGGGATGGGGAAGTGCTGCCCGGTGTCTCCCGGCTGCACACAGCCCGGGTACTTGTGCTGGGAGACGACAGGATGCTGGGGCGCCTGGCCCAGGCCTACCACAGACTCAGGTGGGGCTCCAAGGTGGGGCCTGGGGGCGGGCACTGGTCAGGGGCACAGGTGGGCCTGGCATGGGCTGGTGAAGGATCACAAAGCGGCAAGAGAGGGTCGGGAGGCAGAGGCCAGGGTGGGACAGAGGAGGATGCCACACAGTGCCAGCAGCCGTCACAGAGCACCGCAGTCCCTGCTTTGTGTTTGTTAGCTCCGTGAACCCTCATCGCCATCCTGCGAGGGAGACATTACTGTACCCATTTTGTAGATGAGAAAGCAGAGGCTCAGAAAGATGACACAAATTGCCCAAGGTCCAGAGATAACAAATAGCAGAGCCGAGTCTCTTTGAAGCCAAGACCCGCCCCTAACCTCCTCTGCTTTGCTGCCCGTTGCTAGGAAACGGGAGACCCAGAAGTTCTGCCTCACTCCCAGACTCAGCCTGCAGCTCTACTACATCCCCGTGCTGGCACCTGAGGTGACTGGACCGTGGGGAGGCGGTGGTGGGGCAGAGACAGGGCAGGCTGGGCAGGGACACACCTGCAGCCTCGTATTCCCCACATCCCCGGCGCAGGGACTAGAAAAAGCATCCTTAGGATGTGGAGACGGGACAGACGTCAGCAGTCTTCTGTTTCAGAGGCTGCAGACGGTGCTCTGGGGGCTGAATGTGGCCAGAGATTGGGTCTCTCTCTTGATGGCAGCCTGCTTGCTGCTGATATTCATTTTGTTTTTGTAGGTAATGGAATTAGTTGCAAAGTTCTCAAACACAGGGCGCTCTCTCTCTCTCCCTCCTTCCCTCCCCTCTCTTATACACACAAACCTCACACTTTCTGGTATGACATGAAAGGAAATTTCAGGCAGTAAAATCCATTGATCTAGTGAGGGGGGACAGACCCACACTTGCAGGTCTTACTTCCTACTGCACACACCACTTCCTACTGCACACACCACTTCCTACTGCACACACCACTTCTACTGCACACACCACTTCCTACTGCACACACCACTTCTACTGCACACGCCACTTCCTACTGCACACGCCACTTCCTACTGCACACACCACTTCCTACTGTACACTCCACTTCCACTGCACACTCCACTTCCTACTGCACACGCCACTTCCTACTGCACATGCCACTTCCTACTGCACACGCCACTTCCTACTGCACACTCCACTTCTACTGCACACACCACTTCCTACTGCACACTCCACTTCCTACTGCACACGCCACTTCCTACTGCACACGCCACTTCCTACTGCACGCTCCACTTCCTACTGCACACGCCACTTCCTACTGCACACGCCACTTCTACTGCACACGCCACTTCCTACTGTACACTCCACTTCCTACTGCACACACCACTTCCTACTGCACACGCCACTTCCTACTGCACACTCCACTTCTACTGCACACACCAATTCCTACTGCACATGCCACTTCCTACTGCACGCTCCACTTCCTACTGCACACGCCACTTCCTACTGCACACACCACTTCCTACTGCACACTCCACTTCCTACTGCACACGCCACTTCCTACTGCACACTCCACTTCCTACTGCACACGCCACTTCCTACTGCACACGCCACTTCCTACTGCACACTCCACTTCTACTGCACACGCCACTTCCTACTGCACATGCCACTTCCTACTGCACGCTCCACTTCCTACTGCACGCGCCACTTCCTACTGCACACTCCACTTCCTACTGCACACGCCACTTCTACTGCACACTCCACTTCCTATGCACACTCCACTTCCTACTGCACACGCCACTTCCTACTGCACGCTCCACTTCCTACTGCACACTCCACTTCCTACTGCACACGCCACTTCCTACTGCACACTCCACTTCTACTGCACACTCCACTTCCTACTGCACACACCACTTCCTACTGCACATGCCACTTCCTACTGCACACGCCACTTCTACTGCACACTCCACTTCCTACTGCACACTCCACTTCTGCACACGCCACTTCCTACTGCACACGCCACTTTCTACTGCACACTCCACTTCCTACTGCACACTCCAC